CCGGAGATAGGGGGGAGCCCATTGGGGTGCCCTCAGTTTGCTTGTAGAAGGTTCCATTCCAGGTGAAGTATGTATTGGTTAAGTAGTGTCTCACCAGGGGGGGTACCCCAGTATTCAGTCCTTGATGAACCAAGTCTTCAATGATTGCGATGGTGTCAGGCACAGGAACCTTGGTGAACAAGGAAACCACATCAAAACTGACAAGCAGGTAGTCTGGGGACAGGGAAATCCCCTTGATTGTCGATACCAGGTCAGTAGAGTTTAGTACCGCAGAGGTGGTTTTTCCAGTGAAAGGCCGTAGGATTTCAGACAAAAAACGAGCCAGTTTGTAAGTGGGGGAGTTGATAGTAGAGACAATGGGACGAAGAGGTGTATCTTCTTTATGTATCTTTGGCAAGCCGTACAATCTTGGTGGCCTGGCTGCAGAAGGTTTGAACGAGAACTGTTTGGTCTGATCAATTAATGCGGTTGAAGCAGAAATGATTTTGTTGGTTTTGGAGACGAGGCTGTTGGTGGGATCTCTTTTTATTTTTGTATAGCTGCCATCGTTGAGTAGTTCGTTCATGAGGCGATCCACATATACAAACACAGAGACAATTTCAACTGAGAAGATGGATTCTGGCTCAGCAATCATTGGAAGGACGTAATAAACCATTTCGGATCTTAACTGATTGTTGTTCACGTTTACGGTGACTTTCAGACCGCAGTCCACTCACTGGCATTAACTGTGTATCTTGTGTTCTCCCCAGGGAATGCATTAATTGCTCCGCTGCGGGTCTCCTGCCACCGTTCTCCCATTCACATGTTTCATTGCTTCTACATACTATTAAGATTCCCTCCCTTTATTAATGCTACCCCCTGCCCCCCTCCCTTTGGTGTTGCTGATCCTGCATAATGCATGGACATAATATGACTTTGAAACCCCCCCGCCCAACTCCTACGCATTTCCCATGAATATGCTAAATTCCTCTTGATATGCACAGTCTTTTGTTAAGGCGCTCTTGTTCCACCTCCAACTCAGCTTATATATAAGCTCCTAGCTTGGCAGTGTTTCATTCTTCACTTGAAGACGGCTGCTTGCGTTGTAGCCGAAACGTCGTGAGAATTATTTTATTGTGTTTATTTTTATTATTTTATTACTTCCCTTCTACGTGACTTTACCGAAAGAACCAAGAAGATGAATCCCTGCAGTCACGAAAGCTTTAAATCGAAATGATTACATCTTGTATGAGGAAGCAGAAAAGGCAATTAAACATCTTAAGAAAAACAAAGTCCAGGAGTGGACGGTATAAGTGAAAGATTGATTAAAGTTGGCGGGAAGGAACTTATCTAAGACATCCATCAGCTATGCAAGCAAGTATATAGAGAAGGAAATACCAGAAGATGTGGAAAAGGTCCATACTTGTGACGATTCCCAAGAAAATAGGTCCAACAAGTTTAACAAATTACAGAAGCACCACACTAATGAGCCACATGGGGAAGGTACTTATTATCGTCATTAAATCGATTAAAAGCGCAGACAAATGATTATTTGGAGGATGTACAGCCAGGGTTTAGGAAATATAGGAACACATTACAGCAAATCTTGATGTTAAGGCAGAAAAAACAAATAGAAAGCATGGATTGATTTATATCTGTTTCATAGATTTACATAAAGCATTCGAATCCACTAAGCAAGATATAACCTGGGCAACATTAAGATCATACGGAGTACATATAAAAAAACTCGTACAGTAAAGTTTGGACAGGAAATAGAAGAATCGTTCCCAACAACAATAGGTATGAGACAGGGAGATCCACTATCAGCAAACAACTTCATCACTTATTTGGAAATATTGATGGATGCCATTCAGGACAAGGGCACATGAATATTTGTGCAAGGATAAATAATTAATATCCTGAGATTTGCGGACGACATAGATCTGATGTAAGAAAACTGCGTAGTATTGCAGGAAAGTGCTCATGCACTGAATATGTCAGAAAAGTATGCCGGACTGAGGATTATCTTGGAAGAGCAAAATGAATACTAGAAAGCAGCAAGATTATGAATGTAATGCAAATTGTATACTTGTGAAATCTACTGACTTGGGACAATGACTGGATGAAAGACATAAGAGCGAGGATCGAAATGGCAAACGGAGAAATGGCAGGATTCAATAACATCTGGATGAGCAAGCAAATCAACTACAAGACCAAACTGAATATTTTAAGAACATCTGTGTTCAGTACAAGTTTTATATACCTGCGAGACTTGGATATTAAAAAGACTGCAAAGATAAGATATTTTGTATTAGAAATGTATTGCTATAGAAGAATATTGCATCTAAGCTGGCCCCAAAGAGTGACGAACGTAAACGGAAAAATAAGTTGCACGTTGAAGAAAACTTAATGTAGGTGGTGATGAGAATAAAACTGGCACTATTTAGACACATTTGTAGGATGGACAACAGGAAAATTAAAAGTGTGTTGTTCAGGAAAAAGAAAGGAACCGGAAAGCGAGAAAGACCTAACAGAATGGTGTGATGGCATAATAAATTGGTGTCAGAAAGATGTGCACTAAGCATATTGGTACAAGACAGAGGAAAGCGCAAACAAATGACAAAATGTGCAGTGGACACCTACGGACTATCTGCTCATGGTTTGTGATGATTATGAATACAGATTTTTTTTTCAAAGTGCAACATAATAACATTGACACACCTTTAATATTGGGCATTTCTTCATCTAAATTAACGATGGGGTATTTTTCTTTGATTAAGGAGTAGCATCTAACAATTTAATGTATGAATATGAAAGCCACGATACGTGCATCAGATCCCATTCCTACTCACTTATTCAAATACGTATATTCGTGAATTAGTACAACAGTATCCTCAATACATCTTTTAATTTGGTGCTATTCTCAATGTCTTTAAGGATGCTGTAACTAAATCACTACTTAAAAAGTAATATGGATCTTAAAGTGTCTAACAATTTAGTTATATTTCTAATCTTCCATTTTTAACAAAACATATATAGAGTGGTAGCTAGCCAATTCCATATATTTATTTAATCTGGCATCTTCCCTAACGCCTCTAAAGCTGCCATCATTCTATCCATTCTCCAAAAACAGTCACTAGATCCTTCCATCCCTGCACACTATCGCCCTATTTTCTTGCGTTCCTACTTTTCTAAACTCCTCGAACACCTAGTTCATCTGTCCTATTTGGCTCGACCTGTCTGCGGCTTTTGACACCCTTGATCACTCAATCCTCTTATCCACTCTGTCTAACCTCGATATTTCTGGAATCCCACTTCATTGGCTCTGCTCTTACCTCACTTCTCGTTCATCCACTGTCTCTTTTAACCATGGTTCTTCCTCCCCCTCCCCCGTCACGGCTGGCATCCCCCAGGGTTCTTTACTTGGCCCTCCCTCTGCACATCCCCCCTCGAGACCATCCTTTTTCTTTCAATCTCTCGTATCACCTATTTTCCAACGACACTAAAATCTTCTTTTCCTTTAAAAATGTTACACCTGACCTTTCCGACCACATCTCATCCTGCCTAATGGCCATCCAAACATGGATTACACAAAATGTCTTTTCCCTGAACCCTTCTAAAACCACCGTGTTCTGCTTTCCTGCCTTCTGCTCTCCTCCTCCTAACCCCACCATATCTTTCCCTCTGCTCAGTCTAACTCCGATTGCTTCCGTCCACATTATTGGCGTCACCTTTTATTCCTAATTTTCCTTCACTTCCCACATTGCCAACACCACTCGCAAATGCCGCTTCCATATTTTCAATATTAGGAAAGTTAGCCCCCTCATCACCATCACTGCTGCCAAACTTCTTGTGCACTCCCTAGTCTTCACTCATCTGGATTATTGCAACTCACTCCTGGTTGGTATCTCTGCCTACGCCCTTGCCCCTCTCTACAACAAATTCAAAACTCGGCTACACACACCGTCTGTAACCTCCCCATTCACCACTCATTATTCCCCTCTCCTTCAACAACTTCACTGGCTTCCTATCTATTACCGGTGCCTCTTTACATTACTCACCTTAGTTTTCAAAGCTTTGTATGGACACCACACCCATTACGTATCTTCTCTAATTTTCTTATATGTCCCATCACGCTCACTCTGGTCATAAACTGCCTATCTTCTTGCTGTCCCTCCTCCACCTTGCGCCCAATCTCGCTTTCGCTCTTTCTCTCTGTTTCCCCCCTTACACTGGAACAAACTCCCTCTCCACATCCGAATCTTCCCCGCACTCTCCTCTTTTCGCACTGCCCTCAGGTCCCATCTCTTTTCTCTTGCCTTTTCCCTTCCTCTTCCGCTACCCCTACTAGCACCACCTAACGCCCTTAATACCTCCACTGCCACAGCCTCAAACTCGCTTCTCCACCCTTGTCACCACCCGATCTTCTTCCCCTATCTTGCCATTTTATACTGTAGTCAGAAAGCATTGTTAAGTGCCTTGGTGAAAGGCACTTTATACATACTAAATAGAATAGAATACATTAGTATTTTCAATCTGGATTTTGTCCTGCTCACAGCACTGAAAAAGCACTTGCTATAGGAGGAAAATGACATTTCTTCTGATTTCGGCTTACATTCCATTCTTACATGTCGAAATCCAAATTGATCGCCTGGATAATCTAGTGGGATTTTCATTAAGTGCCCTATCTTTGTTCAGATCTCATCTCTCAAATAGGCTTCAATGAATACTAGAGGCCGACCGAAACTAAATTTCTGGTTTCGGCCGAAACTGAAAGTAAACCGAAAGTTAACCTTTTGGCTTTGGCCGAAACAGAAACTATGCCGAAAGAGGCCATTTTCCAATTTTCGTCGCCGAAACCGAATTTCGGTCGGCCTCAAGACGCGTCACAGACTCGCACGCACACCCAAGCCCCCTCCTGCTGTGTGGAACCCATCTGGAGGAGGAGGTGGGGTGGGATGGGGTGGAGAGTATGGAGTGGAGGGTTGAATTGGATCATTGGAGGGGTGGGTGGGTTGGTCTGTGTGTGGTTGGTGGGCAGATGAGTGAGTGATTGTGCGCGCGCGCGTATGCACACTGTTGGCATTAGCACGCTGATATAATCTGCTCAGTATGTTGTGCGTGTGCGCGTCTGTGTGTTGTGCGTGCGCCCGTGTGTGTGGTGCGTGCCTCGAGCTGCCTGTGAGAGCCCAGCCTCTGAGCTGCTCAAACAAAAGTGCTCCTGGTGGACTGCTGCTGCGAGTGCTGGCTAGGTGTGTGCTGCTTGCTGCTGCTCGCTAGTTTGGTGTTTTTGGGTGGGAAGTTATTTTTTTCTTATTCTTCTCCGTCGTCTGTCTTATCCCCCCCCCCCACCATCACCACACCCCTCTCACCCCATCCTTGCTTGAGTGTGCGTGTGTGCGCTGCTTGCGATCGCCGGAAAGAGTGAGGAGCGTCTGCCATCAACCACCGACGCCGCCGCCGCTGCTGCCCGGAGGTGCATGCGCGCGCGCACGCATGTAGTTTAGATGCCGACCGAAACTGAATTTCTGGTTTCGGTCGAAAACTAAACCAGACCGAAAGTTAAAAATTTACATTCGGCCGAAACCGAAAGTTAAAAATGTACTTTCGGCCGAAACCAAAAGTATGCCGAAAGAGGCCATTTGCCAACTTTCGGCGCCGAAACCGAAACCGAATTTCGGTCGGCCTCTAATGGATACTGAGACCTATTCTCTCCCTGCTCGAAGCTGAAAAAAAACGAAATATGATTTATGTGGGGTTGTTTCTCAGGCTTCCATTGTTGGTCCGATGTTTTCTTTATATATGCTATTCTTTGGCCATGTCATTTGCAGACATTAGACACATTTTCATTGCTATGCTGATGATACTCAGTTTAACATTTTAACCAATTACAAAAATCACTTCTGTATTGGGTAGTTTTCCTTCATATTTCAGGATTAAGATGATACATTTGGGTTTCATTCTTTTTTTTATTTGAGTAGCACATAAGAAATGTAAATGAAAGTATAATGTTTCACCTCATATTTCCAAACTAATACGTATTCTTTCTCTGTTAGGTGTTGAATAACTGATACAAGCTTGTTATGAGATTTAAGATTGACTATTGCAATGGTCTATGCTCAGGCACTTCTAATCGTGTTGTATCTCAGTTATATCCTGTAAATGTAGATGAGAAGAAATAAGAAATGTGAACACTTCAATTATTTCCTATCTTCTTGACATTGGCTTCTTGTGCAATTTCCTATTTACTTTAAGGTCGTTATTTTGAAATATAAAAATACCTCAAAATGCACTTTCTCCATTTTATCTCAAGGATTTGTTAACCAGAAATGTACCTAGTTGCTCACTGGAGGTAATATGGTGCAGGTTTACTTCGTGTTTCACTGGTACAAAGACGAATACAGGTCGCAGAGCATTCAACTCAAGAGCTCTGAAGCTGTGCAATGACCTGCATCCATCTGTGAAGAAGGCATCCTCTCCTGCGGTTTATAAGGTATAGGGTAAAACTAATGTTTTTACATAAGTTTTCGCACCATAAAAAAATGTACCGTTTTTACACTATGAGATCTCTTTAACCAGTGGCAAAATATAGCAGTAGGTTTTTACCCTTTTAAACTGGTACAAAACTGACACCTTTATTCAAGGCATCATGTTTGCAATAACCACAACACAAGTAGTCAAAAGAGCAAACAAAAAGAAGCAACTCTGATAATGATAATGATATGCACTGTCCTTGAAGTTGATTGGTCCACACCCGAGACGGCTTTCTTTAGAGCCTAGTCCCCATTGGTGTTGGACCAGATGACACCAGAAGGCGTACAACTCAAACACAGTGCAATATCAGAGTATTGAGAGCTCGGGGTAAGCATTTAATTATGATATCTCTTTTACCAGTGGCAAAATATAGTAGTAGGTTTTTACCCTTTTAAACTGGTACAAAACTGACACCTTTAATCAAGGCATCTTTTTGTTTGCTTTTTTGACTACCTGTGTTGTGGTTATTGCAAACATGATGCCTTGAATAAAGTTAACTCCTGGCGATACCCACAGCGTTTGGTTAGCGCTTCAGAAAGTAAATGATCCACAAGCAGCCCAACCTGAAAAACAGCACCTTTTTTATAAACGACTTTGAAAAATTGTTGTATATATATTGAACGGCTATATTAAATTATAAACGTTTCGAAACGGATCTCCGATTAGCATGCATGGCTACGTGAGGTACGAAATAAGTTTAACATACATTATCATGTATTTTTTTTATCATTGTTTTTGTCCAGTGCATTGTGACAATTTTATTGCGAAATGTGCGATGTAAAGATAAAAAGTGACAAATTATTAAATGATTACCGAAATCATTACAATCGTCATCAATAACAAACATGATCAATCCGCTGCCAGATAAGACTCTTCCCACGTAATCGGCATCCCGATCTATCTTTAGATGTCATTATCTATTACGCTTCTGCATATAAGATAAAACCATCACCCCTATGTCTACGGTGGTCTTCCTGTTACCTGATTTGGCTGCTATTCCATTATTACTCTTGTCCATCAGCTATAATCTCTTATGGTGACGTGTTTTGCGAAAAAAACACTTCGATTTCTCAAGTTCAATGATGGCATGCAATTGCCTTTTTTCTCTTAACGACACGATAGCGTATGTCTCTCAGTCTAATTCCAATCACGCATATCCCCATGCGTTTTATTTGAGCTATTAGTTACTTTTGCATATCCTTTGCGAGTGTCCATAGCAAGCAGTATTAACTGGCTGAAAATTATCCTCTCAAGGCGCATGGAAAATTTGCTTTTTATATTCAAATCCAATTACTGGTCTCGCTTTTTTGGTGATGTCCACAGTTATTCTATCTGATCTGGGGCTTTTGCTTTCTATACAGGGAACAGTGGTGGTTACTTTAGTGTAACAGCTACAACTACTTCCTCTTTCTCCTGAGATCCTGATTTTATTATTCTATTGCACGTGACATATTCAATACGTTTTGTGTTTTGGTACCTTGAATTTTGGTTGTTATTATTTTACCATCAGTTTTGTGTGCTATATGACTATTTATCCTTATTCATTTCGCCCCTTTATTCAAAATGTGTTTTGTGGTTTCAAAAAACGTGTTCTCTATTTGCATTCATTATTTGCACCCCAATATCACTCTTCACCCGAATGATCATGGAAATGTTAATAATTATTGTATTACTTAAAAGCTAGACATCTGTGAAAAAGAGCTTAATGGCTCATCGGATTCCTCCAGTATAAATAAATATTCTGATTATGAAAACTTGCTTATCTACATAGTTTATTTTTTGTTAATTATCTAGTATCCTTTTTGTACATTGTTCATATCTGTGCTGGTTGCTAACTGATAGATATTCCCCTTAATACTCTTTGGTTCTTTCGGTAAAGTCACGTAGGTATAAAATAAAATAAATCACGACGTTTCGATCGCAACACAAGCGGTCGTCCTCAGGCAGAAATATAATCCAGCAGTGAAACTGCTGAACCAGCGAGAGAGCAGTTACAACAAGGTTATATATGTGGCGATGGGCAAGTAAGCGGGGTCTGAGCTGGAAAGGAATTTCATCCACGGACGCAAGCACGTCGGTTGCTGAACAACCTCGTATCAGTACACATTTGTCGTACCTTGTGTTAAAGTGCGTTTGCTTCATTCAGAAGTAAAAACATGTAACAGTATTATATTTCCACTTAAATACAAATATGATTAGTTCCTCGGCCTTTTCGCTTTCTCCATGAATAGTATTAAGCAGCATTTGTTGAATAAAGCATACTCTGGACCAGCATCGACCTTCTGTTTTTTTCAGCAGATGCAGCATAGTACGTAATTTGTACGTCTGCCTCGGCCCATTGATGAAAATGAATGCCAATCCACACTCGTTTGTGTGGGAAAACACTTTACCTATTAGGACATGCTTTACACAATGCGGTATTGTTGTTAAATCTGGCATGTGTTTGTGTTTTCAGCGAGAATGATAACATCCAATACCACTTTGGGTGTCAACATTTCTTACGACAGCCAGCTTCTACTTCTGCCAGAAACCATGGCTGATATTTTTTCTGATATTTTAGTCATAATTACCATGGTACCATCTACATTGTTTGCATTTTTAATGACATTTACATTTTTGTGTGAAATTAAATTAAAAGAAAACTCTAAATACATATTTTTTATAAACTTGGTTATTAGTGACAGCATGTTTTTATTTATTGTTGACGTTTCTTCTATTTTGTTTATATGTGGGACCAGATTTAATGTTGGAGGCTGCTCCTTCTATATAAATTTTTATCGAGGATTATTCAATAATGGAGTCACTTGCATCTCCTTAATGGCCATAGAAAGATTTGTTGCCATATGCCACCCATTGCGTTATCACAACATCTTTAACCAAAAATCTGCTCTCAGATGCCTTGGTATGATTTGGTTTATTTCATTCTTTTTTCCTGTTGTAGAAATTATATTTATGGTTACAACTGATAACTTGGCATTTCAACGTGTAGCTGGTGCATGTGAAGATGTCAATTATATTTTTGTAAAAGATTACGTCCTTCTTGAATACATTAGGAATTGTGTGTTTGTGTTATTTTTTTCTGTAAGTTTTGTTATCCTTGTAAGCACATATATTTTGGTTGTAAAAGCGGCTAAGCAAGCCGCTTCTCGTGAGTCTGAGGCATCGAAAGCCAAACATACTCTTAGGCTGCATGCAGTCCAGTTAATATTATATATGAGTGCTTTTCTAATCCAACCATTTAAAACTTTAATAGATCTAACTGTGAACGACTCTGACATGAATTATATGTTAAAAACATTTTTGTATTATTTTATGTTTGTCAGCCCAAGATTTTTTAGTCCATTCATTTACGGACTGAGAGACAAGGAGATTCGCCGGTATCTAAGACGGAGGGTATGTTGTGGTCAAAATGTACTGAAGGTGAACCCTGAGCACACAATTTTCCATAAACACGCGTAATTATGCTCATATTACCAGCATTTTATTCAATTGAATTACTCAGCAAAAACTTGGAAGGATCCTCCTGAATAACATGTCTTGAGATTCCTGGGTCAACAAGATTAATAAAAGTAGCCTATGCAGACGTATGACTCTATATAACATAAGGACAATGATATGTACAGTAAGTCCTCGTTTAGCACGATAGACGCATTGCTGAAAGTTCCGCGTTCAGAAAAAAATGTGTTCATCAAAAACAATTTCCCCATAAGTAATGTAACGACAAATTTTGGCAAGATATGATGTACGCACACATATTAAGATTGCAAGACAAATAACTGAGGGTACGCCGCCGCGTACTTTATCATATTACTCTGCCGCGCAGCTCAAGCCAGTAATTCGTTGTCGACCGCTCCGAAACTGCGTAATAACGGTGTGAATTTCTGCGTTATAATTGAACACGTTCCGTGTTGTGTGAAACGTTTTCTTGAATGAAAGAACTGCATTATTGAGAAAACGCGTTGTGTAACTACACGTTCAGCGAGGACTTGCGTTATTGTAAAATATTGTGTTTAATTTCATGTAAATGTTGAGATATTTTTGATGCAGGTTGGAGGACTTTCTACAAAGATACTAATTCCTTCAATGTAATGTGAAAAAAATGTATAATAAAAACGCGTGATGAAATTGTTTAAATATCGGTGTTTGTGCTATTTTATTAACATGCTGCACTGACTGCTTGTTTTTTATATCGGTTACCTGATCCGTAATTTATGTTATCTTTTATCAATAATGTTATAAAAAGACGCTTGTATTTGTATGTGTATATAACTTTAAGGAATATAAATTATTGAACATTCACCATTTCTTCTCAGTCCACGTGTGAGTGTACAAGGATTTGTATTCCGTAGTGGTATCAACATCATACAACCCTCTCAGCAGCATCCTATACTGTACCGTTATTGCAAATGGTGTGTCCAAGAAGGCCATTATTCACTGGATCAAGAAGATAGGAGTCTGAAAGTTCCAGCTTATGGTGGTAGTATAGGCGAGGAAGCACAGTTCACCCAGTACAATTTGTGGCATCTGTTGCCGTGGTAAAGGAGGTATCACGCAATGTAGTTGCATGAGGAGAGGTGATAGGGTCCATCATCGCAATAGAAAGATGTTTATGTTGGTGTGCTCGTGCAAAAAGGAGGAACACAGGGGTCTAAAGGGAGATGCGTCTCACATGCAACTCGACGTTAACGTGATCTTTTGGAAAAGGGGTGTTGGACGCTGACCATGACCGCCTCCAACCCTATGTCTGCATCCACCCATTAAGGGTTTACGCTGGATGAATAGGGACAGGTAATGGTTCATCATTATTTCCCACATCACATGGGCGTGTACCTACCGTGGTTGTCGGGCAGTCGGCGTGCAAGGAGCCTCCGAGGACCCGGAGCATCTGGATTGGGAGCACACTCGTGCGCACGTTTAATGGCCACCAGACTGGGTGCAGTGAGTGAAGTGTGAGGAAATATTGGTTTACTGGCTGCTATAGTCCTCTTTAGGGCATTACGTACTTCAAATGTGTAACCACCACTTGCACTTATGCCGTGCACTCCCACAGATTCCCTCACTCTCCGATGAATCGTCACGATAGAGTGCCTGAGCCCACACAAGGACGTCCAGCAGTTCATATGTCGTGTCGTCGTAGTGAGGAGTCGATATTGTCATGACAGAACAGTTCTTGTTCTCACGTGCTCCCAGATTTGCCCTTGCAGTTAAATATTAATTATTTTCCTCGTTTAGCACATCCTATGTGGTGGACTCTGACTCAGGCACGCCCGGTGCTGGACACCATCTCATACACAGTATTTTTCTTTGACACTTCATTTTGAACGGTTTTGGCTCTGGTCGTATAAGCCAGATCCCTTTCTCTCTCAATTGCACACGTCAATGCGGCGCCTCACTAGTTTTCACACAAAAACGCAGGCCTGTTCTTCAGATGTCTTCTTGGCTTGTCTATCTTTCTCAAATGGTTCTGCACCAATCCTTATGTAAGGACGAAAACACAACAGACGACTTAACTGACATGATGTGTACGATGCGAGTGCAAACACGGGCAGTCAGGAAGCGAAACAAGGTCTCTGATTGGTGCCCCTAATCTTGGAGAGATCACGTAGGGTGGATGACAGAAAAAGGGGAGGTACAGAGGCTTGGGAAAGAATTGGCTCGAGGCAGATAATTGAAGATATTGGAGGTAAGATACAAACGTAAAGGGCGGGAAACGAAGATGGACTGGCAGGGGAAAGGTTGCAAACCGTTGGACAAGGAGGACGGGGATTTGCTGAAGGAGATAGGTCGAAGGAACCTTCGAGAAAGAGGGTTCGATGGATATAAAAAGGGGAAGCACACGGGGAGGGGTTGTTTGGAGAGAAGACGAAGTTCGTTCATGAAAAATAGAACTCGTGGCTGAATACAATGTTTCAACAATAAAGGCTCTTAATAATTTGAAGAACATGTGTCGGTCTTCTTGGTTCTTTCGGTAAAGTCACGTAGAAGGGAAGTAGTAAAATAATAAAAATAAAACATAATAAAATAATTCTCACGACGTTTCGGCTACAACGCAAGCAGCCGTCTTCAGGTGAAGAATGAGACACTACCAAGCTAGGAGCTTATATATACGCTGGGTTGGAGGTGCAAGAAGAGCGTTTTAACAAAAAGAATGTGCATATGAAGAGGAATTTAGCATATTCATGGGAAATGCGTAGGAGGTGGGCGGGGGGGTTTCAAAGTCATATTATGCCCATGCATTATGCAGGATCAGAAGCACCAAGGGAGGGTGCAGGGAGTAGCATTAACAAAGGAAAGGAGTGTTAATAGTATGTAGCTGCAGTTACTAAACAACCACGTAGAAAACTAAAGTATAAACTACATAAAAAACTAAAGTATAAAATGCATAGCACCATCAGTATACTTACTATACTCTACAATAAGCTGAGTTACTCACAGCAAGTAATACATTACAATTCTACGTCGTATAAATTATATAATATGCTTCCATCTAAACTTTATTCTATTACATCACACGAGCATACACCGTACTATATACTGCCATAGATAAACCCAACATTAAATTATATACTGTATTGCTATAAACCACCCTATAGCTTATACATTTTAATATAACACTATGTATTATTCTACCCACCTTAATGTGTATCACACTGCTATATGTTTACTATACAATTACGATACTATATATTACTTTGTACATTGTATTAAGCATATAAATGTTATACTATTTGTTATTATACAATGTACCATTGACCGTCGTGTCAATGGGTGAGTCGTGGGGGGAAAACTTGCAGCGGAGCAAAGAATCCATTCCCTGCGGATAATACAATGCCAGTGAGTGGAAACGCGGTCTGAAAGTCACCGTAAACGTGAACACAATCAGTTAAGATCCGAAATGGTTTATTACGTCCTTCCAATGATTGCTAAGCCAGAATCCATCTTCTCGGTTAAAATTGTCTCTGTGTTTGTATATGTGGATCGCCTCATGAACGAATCTCTCATGATAGCCAGATGGCTTGCAGAGAACCTCTGTCTTGGAGAAGTCAATGTCATGTGAGCCCACTGAGTTGTAACAGTGATCTGTTTCGGCTGAGGTGTTTGTCCTACCGTGTTTCAGGTCTGCTTTATGTTCACGGATGCGGTCCGAGACATGTCGGTTGGTTTCCCCAATGTAACTGCTACCAAAGAGGCACCTTAGTGTGTAGACGCCAGGGTACTGTATGTCTGGAACCACATCTTTTACAGACGGTACCAGATCACGGATTTTATGTACTGTGTTGAATCGGACCTGGATCTTGTGTTTAATCAGGATTTTGGAGATCTTTTTTGTGACCCCAGCAATGTAGGGTAAGGTGATGGTCTTGAAAGGCTCCTCAACAGGATCCTTCTTGATGGTTGGAGTGATGGCTTTGCGGATTGTGTAGTCGGAGTAACCATTAGCCTTAAGAGCTTGGCGTACGTGTTTGAGTTCACTGGAAATGTGTTCCTGGTCGGAGATGAATTGGGCTCTATGATATAGAGTCTTGATGAGGGAATTCTTCTGGGATGGATGGTGGTGGGAATCCGGTTTTAGGTAAGCATCCGTATGGGTGGCTTTCCTGTAGACAGAGTGGCTCATTGAACCATCAGGTCTCCTTTTGATTAGGACATCCAAAAAGGGTAGCTTGCCATCTTTTTCGACTTCCATGGTGAATCTGATGGCTGGGTGTATGGAATTGATGTGGTCGAGAAATTGGTCTAGAGCAGGCCGGCCATGTGGCCAGATGACAAAAGTGTCATCTACGTACCTCTTCCATAAGGTCGGGCGTAGAGTGGCAGTCTGGATGGCGTCCGTCTCAAATTTCTCCATGAAGATGTTGGCTACAACCGGAGATAGGGGGGAGCCCATTGGGGTGCCCTCAGTTTGCTTGTAGAAAGTTCCATTCCAGGTAAAGTATGTATTGGTTAAGCAGTGTCTCACCAGGGGGGGTACCCCAGCATTCAGTCCTTGATGAACCAAGTCTTCAATGATTGCGATGGTGTCAGGTACAGGAACCTTGGTGAATAAGGAAACCACATCAAAACTGACAAGCAGGTCGTCTGGAGACAGGGCAATCCCCTTGATTGTCGATACCAGGTCAGTAGAGTTTAGTACCGCAGAGGTGGTTTTTCCAGTGAAAGGCCGTAGGATTTCAGACAAAAAACGAGCCAATTTATAGGTGGGGGAGTTGATAGTAGAGACAATGGGACGAAGAGGTGTATCTTCTTTATGTATCGTTGGCAAGCCGTATAATCTTGGTGGCCTGGCTGCAGAAGGTTTCAACGAGAACTGTTTGTTTCGATTTAAAGCTTTCGTGACTGCAGGGATTCATCTTCTTGGTTCTTTCGGTAAAGTCACGTAGAAGGGAAGTAATAAAATAATAAAAATAAAACATAATAAAACAATTCTCACGACGTTTCGGCCACAACGCAAGCAGCCGTCCTCAGGTGAAGAATGAGACAATGCCAAGCTAGGAGCTTATATATAAGCTGCGTTGGAGGTGGAAGAAAGAGCGCCTTAACAAATGAATGTGCATATGAAGAGGAATTTAGCATATACATGGAAAATGCGTAGGAGGTGGGCGGGGGGGGTTTCAAAGTCATATTATGCCCATGCATTATGCAGGATCAACAGCACCAAGGGGGGGTGCAGGGATTAGCAGTAACAAAGGAAAGGAATGTTAATGATATGTAGCTGCAGTTACTCAACAACTACGTAGAAAACTAAAGTATAAACTACATCAAAAACCAAAGTATAAATTGCATAGCACCATCAGTATACTTACTATACTCTACACTAAGCTGAGTTACTAACAGCAAGTAATACATTACAATTCTACGTCGTAGAAATTATATAATATGCTTCCATCTAAACTTTATTCTATTGTATCACACGAGCATATACCGTACTATATACTGCCAACATTAAATTATATACTGTATTGCTGTAAACCAACCTATACCTTATACATTTAATATAACACTATGTATTATTCTACCCACCCTAATGTGTGTCGAAATGGTTTATTACGTCCTTCCAATGATTGCTAAGCCAGAATCCATCTTCTCGGTTAAAATTGTCTCTGTG